GGTTATAGTGTCTTGCCAAGGACACAACGACAGCAGACATCAGTGGGAGAGTCGGTGGAGAAAGTCTTGTTGGTGGGCTCGAACCACAACCTTTTGGCTCAAAGGCCAATGCTCTACCAACTGAGGCCACTGTCGCCCTAAAGGTTATGAAGTGTTCATGAGTACCCAAAAGACAGATGGGGGAGAAGAAATCTGTTTCTTATGGCAGGAGGGTTCTGGTACGAATGGACTGTAGCCTTCTACTTGAGGGAAGAGGTGGGGAACAGTGCCATGTGTAGGGTGGAGGGATCGGCTGTGATACGACCAGCCCGTGCCCTCGAGCTCGGGCGTAGAGGTGATGACCATCCCGGACCATCTATGTTATTTTTAATTATTCAATTAACCCATTGGTGTTATTGAAAGCCATATAGGATTAGTAATTTGCAACTTCACGGGGATCCTATTAAAGAAAACAATACACTTTCATGGTGGATCTATGATAATAAATACAGATTTAAAAACTCATTAAGCTTCTGTTTTATTCCCCCACGGTGTCTGCGACACGGACACACAACTTGAAAAAACAAACAGTTTGGACATCTAGTTTATATTTTGTAAATCTTTTACAATTGAAACCCCCAAACCCTCAAACAAAAATGATCTATATTATGAAAGGATTCCATTCGTCTTCCAACCACAGTTTTGGAGCAGCTGAGTTACTGCTAAAAGTCATCTTCGTGTTCAAGGCTCCTCTTCCTCAGATGCGGAAGGATTTGGAGAGAATTATGCATGAGCTGATCAAGGGTGAAGGACAGGAGGCTCGCAGCAGCCTCCTCCACAGACAGACAGACAGATATGGACAAACTGGCGGATCGACACATATACATATATGGTTATATGATGCAGTGGACCATCTCAACTCAGCACTAAATCATGAAGAGGTAATTGTGCTGCATCCTGCAACAAACAGTAACAATAATGGTTTTGTTGTATAAACAGTATTTAACATTATTTTGTCAATTCCACATACATACGTACATCACATACAGCTGTTACTTTTTAAATCTGTTCCCAGAACCAAAAGGATTTTTCTCAAAGTTCAAATGTAATAAAACAATGAAAACTCAATGTATCGCCTGAAGATTGTTTTCCCTGGCACGAACTTTAAAAACATGTGGCATGAGTGTGCATCAAGAGCGGGATTCTATTTATACAAGGTGAAAGCAGCTATAGAGGCAGAGGAGCCTGAGACTAATTGTGCCAAAGAAGCACATTAAAACTATGCCATGTTGAGCCTTTCATTCAAATCCTGGAACCTGAGGCGAGGAAAACATTGAGAGCTTACTTCACTGACATTCAACCTTGAAATGTTATCTCTAGTCAAAGGAAGAAACAACTATAAAAGAGCACTAAGATGGAACACAGTTGGTATCATGAGGCAAGGGGCGTTAAATTACAGAGATATATATTTTTTAGGGATGTCAAAATTATTACGTTAACGCAACGTTTCTACATTTTTGTTCATTTAATCGCGTAAAAACCCAAAACCCGCATTTAACACATCAGCCAAATGACCCGCCTATAAGAGGGTCTTTGTTTACACACCGCGTGCACATGCCCCGTTTTTACCTCTCGCTGGGTGGCCAAGATAGACAGAGCGGCACATACTGAAGCATGGATGCGACGAGTACTCTTAAAAGACTCAGTGGGTGAATAGCACTGTATATAAGCACTTTAAACGCAAGAAGATCAGACGGAGATATAAAGACAAGCTAAAAATAGGTATATGAGACCGAATTGAACAAAGTCAAAGCACATATAGAGACCTGAGATGAGACGAGAAGAAACATTGGTCAGACTCACCTCTTTTGGGCACCGATCTGCTTGGACTGGGACTCGGAGACATGTTTTCTTACTTCCTAGAAAACCCAGGACCCTTCACTCAAGAGGGGTACGTGTGGTGAAAAATCAGTTTTTTCACGCGCGGTAGAGTGGTGGCCAGCATTTCGCCACACATTTAAAGCGGGTTGCCCCTTTTTGGGGCTTGTTACTTACGGTAAAGGTGGAACAGGAAAGCCGCGGGATGAGAAACCAAAATCCAATTTTTAAAATTAATCATCATTCATGAGACCGAATGAATGAATGAACAATTACGCAGTGAAAGAAGTTGCAAAACTTTAAATTGTTTTTGAATTTTTATCGCCCTCATCCCCCGGCTTCCCGTTCTACGTTTACCGTAGGGCAACAGCATAAAAGAGCAACCAATTTTTACCGCAGCCGGTTCTTTGCTGTTCTTTTCCGAATGAATTAGAAAAAAAAACCTAATCCGTCCCCAGCGGGCCGTACAACCGACCAAACAACAAGAACGAATCATTTGTATTGTAAAAACCTCTCTCCAAACGTCTGGAAAACAGCTAACTCTCTAGCATCCAGGTAGCTTTCTCTGCTGTATTGCCACACCGCTCACGTGACCGGCGCGGAAAAAAAACTATAAACAACAACGTCACTCCAAGATCCTCCTACATGCATCCCCATAATAACAATCAGAATGTGACGCTCACAGGCACAAGAAACCCTCCTACTCTCTCCTCCCACGGAGCCATGTAGTTTTAGTAGTGATCCGATAGGCAAACATTAGCATTACAGTAGCACAACTTCTTGTAAGCTGTACAACAATCACTGATGAAATGGTACAAAAAGCAACGCACTGCTAACAAAATATATAACTGAAAGATTATCGCTAGTTTCACGTTCAAATGTAGTCTGAGCATAGATAGTCCGAGACGGTCCTGCTCCAGCAGGTCTCTCTGAGGATTTGATGTAAGCTAGCTATGTTCATCCGGGATTGATTTCTTCTTTATCATACACAGCCGGATCAATGAGCTATTTTTTTTTTCAATTAAATTACGGGTTTTAATACAACTTTGAATACATCTTAAAACAATACTGTCTTCTACATAAAGACAGAATGTTAATAATGGTAATGCCGTTTTATGTGGATTTATTGTTCTAATGAACAAATACAGTACATATGTACACTATGTTGATATTTATCTTTCCATTCAAACAACTACTTACAGAAAAATATGGCATAATTTTGCCAATAGTTTGAAAAGCGATTAATTACGATTAATACATTTTTAAAGGCGCTATACCCGTTTCTGCAAGGTTTGAATGTTTAGCACCGCCCCCCAACTCGTTCACAGGCTTTTCATTTCCCTTACGCTCTCATCCCATGGAGCCATCTAGTTGAGTGGCTGCATAGACTATGCAGCCACTATATGCTCTCCTACTGTTTATTTTTCTCTCTTCTTCTTCTTCTTCTTCTTCTTCTTCTTCTTCTTCTTCCACTTCCGCCAGATTTTGGCACTTTTCAACTCTTCAACGCTTTCACCAAATTCAACAAATTATACATCGTTACGACCGCCTTCACCGTCTCCATTATTGCTATTACTTTTCACACTTCCACCTTTAGCCACTTTTCAGATATTAAAGGCCACACCGTGTAACTCTTGGCCACTAGGGGCGCTAGACCTGCAACTTTCACGTTTAGCGCCCCTAGTGGCCACAAGCAACTCAGCACTGTCGCAAAAGTCAAACAGTCAGCCGGTGTCTTTTGAGTGTGTATTCAGACAGCATGCACTGGTGTGTGTGTTCAAACTGTAGAGACATGCCTACAGATATTGAGAGACTCTGCTGTGGTCAGCCTCCAGACCGCTGCATTAGTAATCTACCACACACGGACTTCTATATCCTGGATGAGGGAGTTCTGCGTCTAGCTCGTGCTGCGTGGAATGACATCTTTGCGGTCGATGACATCCAGGAACCAGGTGAAGAGCAGCGCTCATACAGACATGCAGCTTACAGCACGATCCCTTTCGCGTTTCCTCTTTTTAGCCTCCTCCGAAGGTTTAAAATTTTTCCTTGCCTCAGCCATGACCAGGAGTCGAGCAGGTGAAAAATGAGTAGCAAAAGCCTTAGCTCCATGAGTATATCAGCGCCTGTAGCCGTAAAGCAAGTCTTTCTTCCAAGTCACGTGACCTGGTGGCAGACGGTCCGTCTGCTCGAAACTTACATGGGCGGTATTTCAAGAGGGCAGCCCCGCTCGGAGCATTGCAAGTGTCAAGCGCTGTATATTGGCCCAAGTATTCATATAAAATAACTCATATGTGTCAACTCTTTAGGTCACAAAGTCCGCGGTGTGCCTTTAACAAAAGTTCAAGCACTTTTTCCCATAGACTTACATTGGACCAGTACAACAGATTACTCCCCATACAACACATTACCACACTAACAATTCATTACCACAGATACAATACATTACAACATCTTACAACACTTACAGCACCTTACAACAGATTTAGCACTTTACAACACATTTAGCACTTTAACACAAATTCAACACCTTACAACACATTTAGCACTTTACAACAAATTCAACACCTTACAACACATTTAGCACTTTAACACAAATTCAACACCTTACAACACATTTAGCACTTTACAACAAATTCAACACCTTACAACACATTTAGCACTTTAACACAAATTCAACACATTAGCACACATTTAGCACTTTAACACAAATTCAACACCTTACAACACATTTAGCACTTTACAACACATTCAACACATTTAGCACTTTACAACACCTTGCAACACATTTAACATCTTACAACACATTTAGCACTTTAACACAAATTCAACACATTACAACACATTTAGCACTTTAACACAAATTCAACACATTTAGCACTTTATAACAAATTAAACACCTTACAACACATTTAGCACTTTACAACAAATTCAACACCTTACAACACATTTAGCACTTTAACACAAATTCAACACATTTAGCACTTTACAACAAATTCAACACCTTCAGCACCTTACAACAAATTCAACACCTTACAACACATTTAGCACTTTACAACACATTCAGCACTTTACAACACATTCAGCACTTTACAACACATTTAGCACTGTTCTTCCCCTTCTTCCTCTTCTTCTCCTTCTTCCCCTTATTCCTCTTCTTCCTCTTCTTCCCCTTCTCCCCCTTCTTCCCCTTCTTCCTCTTCTTCCTGTTCTTCCACTTCTTCCTGTTCTTCCCCTTCTTCCTCTTCTTCTCCTTCTTCCCCTTCTTCCTCTTCTTCCTCTTCTTCCCTTCTTCCTCTTCTTCCCCTTCTTCCTCTTCTTCCTGTTCTTCCACTTCTTCCTGTTCTTCCCCTTCTTCCTCTTCTTCTCCTTCTTCCCCTTCTTCCTCTTCTTCCTCTTCTTCCCTTCTTCCTCTTCTTCCCCTTCTCCCCCTTCTTCCCCTTCTTCCTCTTCTTCCTCTTCTTCCTCTTCTTCCCCTTCTTCCCCTTTTTCCTGTTCTTCCTGTTCTTCCCCTTATTCCTCTTCTTCCCCTTCTTCCTCTTCTTCTTCTTCCCCTTCTTCTTCCTCCTCCTCTTCCTTCTTCTTCTTTCCTCTTCTTCACTTTTCTTTCTTCTTCCTTCTTCCCCTTCCTCTTCCTTCTTCATCCCTAACCCTTCCAACATCTATGCAGCCACTCACAATGGCTTCAGCCATTGTACCATTTCTAGTTTTATTTGCGATCTGATACATATGCAAAGATTAGCATTAGGGCAGCTTCTTGTAAGCTGTACAACGATCACTGATGAAATGGCACTAAAGCAACGCACTGCTAACAAAATATATAAGTAAAAGAATACCGCTAGTTTCGCTTCTGAATGTATTAATTTAAACATTAGAATATATTATAATATTGAATTATAATTTATTATACAGCTCCTCACAGCAGCAGTAGAACACTCCATTGACTTGAATGTAATATACAACGTTCTACCGATCTTTTTTTTTTGATAACGGAACTCTCAAACCAATAATGACCGCTGCCCTTTGGCAACGTAATCTCTGTTAAGCTCGCAAACGAGAAAAAAAAAACATCTGCTGGCAATAGCAGATGTATTTTGAACTTCATAAACCACAAGCTATATATCATTTTAACACTTATTTTCTCAGCTATATTTATATGTAAGTGTAAACAATATCAGACTTTGCATTAAAAAGATATAACGCATAATATGGGCACAAAATAAATCGTGTTTGTATAAGTTTTTTACCTTTCGTCTTCTGCTGCTCCAACAAATTAGACTTTCCCCATCCTTGCTTTGTCTCTTTCTCTCCATAAGTCTTCATTGAAAAAGAATATCCACTCAAAAAAAAACGCTCCGAAAAATGTTCAGGCTTCTCTTTCACATTTCACCAAGTTTGAGCATTGTTTAGCCCCACAAACATCATATCCCCTTGTTCCTTGAGTCCTTAGCTTCAAAAAAAGAGGTTCCATGAAAAGATAGTAGCAGTTTTCAGTCCGCAGGACCCTTGTGAAAAAGACGAACCGCATTGGATTCAGAGCTGATTACTCGACAGAAACTGCCACCTGCTTCTTTGTTGAGAACATCCGAGGGTTGTTAGACAAGGGAGGGGTTGTTGGTGCAGTCTTTCTTGACCTACGAAAGGCATTTGACACAGTAAATCACAACATTCTTCAATCACTTCAATCACTTTAACATCTCCAATAACACTGTAAAATGGATTTGGTCATATTTGAATAATCGTTCTCAGCATGTCATAGTGCAAAACTGCCCATCCCCTGCACTCCCTGTATCAACTGGTGTGCCTCAAGGGTCAATCCTGGGGCCTCTATTATTCTCCCTGTATATTAATGACCACCCGTGCGCCTGCCCGAATATCTCTGTGCAGATGTATGCAGATGATACTGTGCTGTATGTTCATGGCAGCAGTGTTTCCCAAGTGACTGAAAAGCTCACCCAGGCCTTGGTTCACATCACAGCATGGCTGGAGCACTGCTGCCTACAGTTAAACACTTCAAAAACTGTATCAATGCTTTTCTCCAAAAAACCTATTACAGATGTGCCTGATGTTCATGTTTCAGGTATAAGGCTGCAGACCGTATCCCAGTACAAATATCTTGGCATAATCCTGGACTCAACTCTCTCATTCAAACCTCATGTTAAAATGGTCAGTAATCGCATTAACTTCACCCTCAGTAACTTCAGACACATCCGGCCCCAAATGTCAATACAAGCAGCAAAAATGTACATGCACGCAATGATCATTTCACATCTAACATACTGTTTAACTGTCTGGTCACATGCCAATGTCACAACTCTCAAACCCATCCTGTCCCTCTACAAACGCACCATAAAAACTCTGGACCGCAAACCACTCTCACATCATCACTGTCCAATATTACAAAAGCATCATTTACTCAGTTGGGAAAACATGGTCAAATACTCACATCTCTGCCTCACCTATAAAATAATTCATGGTTTGTCATCACCTCCACTCACACAGTTCATTCACATCAGTACAGCAAAACTCAGGAGAATTAATAGTTACCTAATGTAACTTAAGTTCTACGAATAGGTGCGTAGTCCCTTAGGACTTCGCTAGTGGGATATCACGTGACCCCCAGGTCACAGACGCCAGAGAGATCAAAATAATTTGCTCCAATCACCAGCCACCTTCCTCTATAAATGCCCCTGCACAAGGCCGCACCCCCTCTTGAACTCTGCCAAGCCGGGCTGGCCTGATGGGCTCGTAGCTAAGGGACTACGCACCTATTCGTAGAACTTAAGTTACATTAGGTAACTATTAATTCTACGTCATGGTGCTACGTCCCTTAGGACTTCGCTAGTGGGACACAACGCGGAGGCCGTAGGAACATGTACTCCCAGCAGGCCAGCGAAGGGTGATTGGAGCTCCGCCCGAGCAAGACCCTCACACCGTGAGAGGACTCAGGGCAGAAGAAACAAAGCGTGTTACCGGGCCACTCCTACCAAGGACGCCCCCACGTAACACCAATCGTAGGTCAACCGTAGTCACAGGACGCCTCTCCCAAGAGCTCCTGATGTAGACTACCAGACCGATCAAACACACATATATGTACCGCACCTGTAGGATGCCTCTCCCAAGAGCTCCTGCACCAGGGCGGAAAAATAGACCGAAGGCCCACTCCTCAGGGGAGGGACCCAACGGTCCAACTCAATCCGCTGCACTCAGCACGGAATGGGCCACCGACCGGTCCGACACATCCGAAAGATAAGACCGGACGAAAGAGGAGGACGACGCCCAAGAAGCCGCACGGCAAACGTCCTCGACCGACGCCCCCCTGAGAAGGGCCGTAGAGGCCGCCATCCCACGCGTGGAATGCGACCTGAAACCCACCGGGGGGGCCAGGCCCTGCGCCTGATACGCCCGTCGCACCGCCGTGGCGACCCAATGCGCCAGCCGCTGAGCCGACAGCGGGGCGCCCCTGTTCTTGGGGCCCAGACACACAAACAGCTGATCACCCGACCTGAATGACGACGTCATGGCCAGGTAATGCCTCAGCATTCTGATAGGACACAGAAGGTGCTGCCGCTCCTCCTCGGGGGAGGCATGCGGCGGCGGGTGGAAAGCCCTAATCCTGATCACTCTCGACCTAAAGGCCGACGTGATGACCTTGGGGAGAAAAGCCGGATTGGGCCACAACTCCACCATGCCGTCGTCCTCTCCAAAGGACAGGCACGACGCATGGACTGAGAGCGCACACAAATCGCCCGCCCTTTTTGCAGACGCCAACGCCAGCAAGAGGGCCGTCTTAAAAGCGATACAATCGGGACTCGCCTCCGCCGCCGGTTCAAAAGGCGAACCCGACAGCCCCCTAAGGACCACCCTGAGGTCCCAAACCGGAGGCGTTCTCTGGAGCGGGGGCCTCCTCCTGCGCGCCCCCCGCAGAAAACGTTTAATCAACGGGTGAGAGCGGGCTGTGAACCCCCCGAACCCGTCGTGACCTGAAGTAATGGCTGCCGCAAACACCGCCAAGGTAGCGACAGCCCTCCCCTTGTCGAAAAGCTCCTGTAGGAATCCCAGGACCCCCTCCAGCGGGCAAAACCTGGGATCCCAGGAACGGGAATCGCACCAGGCACTGAATAGCCTCCACCTCGTGGCGTAGGCCCTCACGGTGGACGGCGCCCTCGCTCCCTGAATTGTCTCCACCACCGCAGGGGGAAGACCCAGATCTACGAGGCTCCGCCTCTCAACCTCCAAACCCAGAGCCTGCGGCCGATTATCGGACGTGAAAACAGGGCTCCTGCCCCCTGGACTAGAGCCCCCGGCTCGTCCGGGAGGGCCCAGGGCTCCATCACCGCCATGCCCCTCAGGAAGGGGAACCACCGGGCATGCGGGCTGTCCGGAGCCACCAGAATCACCGACCTCCTCTCCTGTTCGATCCTCCGCAGTAGGACCGGCAGAAGACGCACCGGTGGAAAAGCGTACAACAGGCCGCCTGGCCATGGGTAATGAGCCAGAGCGTCCACGCCTAAAGGCGGCTCGTCCGCGGCCCTTAAGGCGAACCAGGACGGGCACTGTGCGTTCTCTGCACTGGCGAAAAGGTCGACTACTGGACGACCGAACCTCCGCCAGATCTCCGCGGCTACCCGTGGGGCCAGGCCCCACTCGTCCTGGAGTGGGCCCCCCCTGGACATCCTGTCGGCTCCCACGTTCCGGACCCCCGGGACGTGGCGCGCCCTGAGAGACAGGAGGTGAAGCGCCGCCCACAGCAGCGTCACCGTCGCCATGCGATGGAGAGCGGGGGACCTGGTGCCCCCCTGCCTGTTCAGATAGGAGACCACTGTGGTGTTGTCTGAGCGCACCATCACGTGTCTCCCCTGCAGCTGAGGGGCAAAGTGCAGCAGTACTCTGTGCACTGCCTCCATCTCCAGCAGGTTGATGTGACGGGCTGAGTCCGACCAGCAGCCTCCTACAGAGCTCTGGCCGAGGACCCCGCCCCATCCTTCGAGCGACGCGTCCGTGAACACCTCGGCGTGAGACACCGCGCAGGCCAGAGTCACTCCGTCCCGCAGTAGACCCGGAGTGAGCCAGAACCTGATGTCCGATGCTGCCCCTTGGGGAACCCAGATCAGCCTCCCCCCGTCCCGGGAGGGGTGAAGCCTGAGGCGCGAGAACCACCTCTGAAAATTTCTCATGTGGAGCAGGCCTAGCCGCACCACAGCATGAGCCGCTGCCATCATCCCCAGCAGGGACCTGAGGCGCCGAGCGGGAACTCTGGGGCCCGCCAGAACCTCCCGGGCCAGACGGGTAATATTCGTCCGTCTGTCCACGGACAATGCAGCACGGAATATCACAGAGTCTAGCTGCAGACCGAGGTAAATCATGCGTTGGGCTGGCTGCAGCTTGCTCTTCTCCCTGTTCACCACAAAGCCCAGACGCTGTATGTGGGACAAGACCCATTGCGTGTGGCTCACGGCCACTTCCCTGGATGGGGCCAGTATTAACCAATCGTCTATATAGGTCAATATTCTTACCCCGGCACGTCTGATCGGCTCCAGAGCCGCTTCCACACATTTGGAAAAAGTGCGAGGCGCGAGAGCGTACCCGAAAGGGAGACGGCAGTACTCGTAATTCCTCTCTCCCACTGCGAAGCGCAGAAATC